TGCCCTCACATTTAACTTATTTGTTAATACTTTTCCAAAGCTACCTAAACACTTACTAATTGGTTAAACATGCTGCCTACATTAATTCTTGTTAAAATTAAAGAAATTAAAGGTCTATTTTTGCTCCTTTGCAGTGACTGATATATTTTCAAAGTATCTGATGTTCTAGATAAGGTGTTTATCAGGTTCTTAAAACATTTAAAAAATGACTCAAGGGACAATTTATAGTTTTACCTTTAACATATTCACTATATTGGATTTTGCTGAACAGATTCAGTTGTTCTTTCCTTCTTCTGAAACTCTTCCCTTACTCAAATAACTACAGGACCTAAGATGTTATCAATATAAAGAGGAAAAATGTGTATTTATTTCCTATACACTTGGAAACACATCAAAAAGAACAAATATTCCAGGCAGTGGAAGTAAAGCTATTCAGTAAAATTTTTTGTTTTTTCTTGGGGTGTGTGTGTGTGTGTGTGTGTGTACATGTATGTGTGTGTAACAGGTAATTTTTCATATGTATTATTTTTTCCAAAGAACAAGATGCTAAATAAAAAATATTAAAACATTCTTGGAAGGGACCGATATTTTGCTGACACAGCTCAAGAGGCAAATGATTATCAAAACAAAACTTCAAAGATAGCTAGAGAGACATGTTTCAGTTCCTGGGCTTTTCAAATCTCAAAGCCAGGAGCATTATATTTCATTCAGCAAATAACAATTTAATCCTCAGAAAGGAAAATTTCCCGAATATCAAACCAAAATGCATACAGTGACAACTAGGATTATAGTAAAAATGAAGGGGGAAAAACACCTTTGTATGACATTAAAACACAAAGAGTATCCTTAAAATTTTGAAGCTATATTGATAAAAATATAGTCACTAATTTATTTGGCTGTAAGATGTCTGCTTATTAAAATACTTAGGCTATCATGAATATATAGATAGAGAATTTTATCAGAATTAGCCCACATTTATAAATCATCTCTCCCAGCAGCCACATTCCTTATAGAATTTCAAAAAAGCAAAATTAGGCATATAAATTTCAAACAAGAATCTCAATCTATGAGGGCTCTCTAATTCTAACTGAAATAAAGATTTTGAGTACACAACAAGCTTAAGATTACTCCTCTAAGTTTGTATTATTTAATAGTAGCTTGAGAAAAGGGATGTTCAACAGGTAGCATTTCTAAGGCATTAAAAAGGCTGAATACAATCAGGTCAAATTAGTAACTGTGCTGTGCCCCGTCTAAAGAAGACTCTCTAAGGAATTACAGATTTTATACTCGTACACTCAGAGTGAGTGCATTCTCTGATTCACACAAGTAGCTAGCTGTGTAAAACCCAATCATGAAGAAAGTTTTTTTTGCCACCCTTGGTGAGATAGGAAAAAAAAAAATCACAATACCAGCACTTTTATTTAGGGTGACAATGAACTAACTAATCATAACTTGAAAGTGTCCAAATGACCTGAATTATCAGTCGTCTACTATAACTGGAAGAAACACTTTTCCTTCACTTTTACAGAAACTGAATTTATTGATATTAGCATTTGGTTTGTCAAAGTGGCAACAATTCAAGATCTAAAAGTCTCACTTATTTTAAACACACAGCCTAATTCTGACTACTTATAGCCAATATAACTGTCTCGAGCCAAAATACAATGAAAATGTCAGATAAACTTCAGAGATTTTATAAGTATTAATGGCATTCTGAACTCTCTGGAAAGATTATTTGGGGAGGGGGAGGAGTTTCTCCTCTCCATTGACGGTTCAGTCACTTTTCAATCAAATCTGATTTCGCAATAGTTCACGGCATTAATTTTTTAATGAGTTCTTAGAAAGCTGTAATTGCTTCCAAAAATTAGAAACCACAAGATGATGTTCTCAAACACTACACCGATGTAACACTATCATGAAGGGATTTACAGAAAGGTGCAGATGAGAGCTCAGATGTGAACACAGGCTAACATACACTAGACTTCAAAATAATAATTTGTTTGTACAGTATGGCAAGAAAAATGTTCTGTATAAGAAGTCTAAAAACCCAGCCCTAATTTTAATCCACTTCTATAAATCATAAAAACAAAGGAAAATAGGCATTTATTCCAGAAACTTCATAGACCTGTGGAAAACGGAACACAAGTAAATTCTATTCAAGATTAACCTTAATCTCCAATAGAGCACAGCAAACAACTTACACATTTTAAATTCTGAAAAATATTGTGAAAATCTAAACCATTAGAGGCAATAGCAGTTTATGACCAGTAAACATTTCCTGTGAAATAACACAAATAAATTCAACTTATAAGATGCAGACTGACAGGTCACAAGGTTTTGAAATCTTTTGATTCCCAAGGCGCAGAGTTATAGCACATGTATAGGATGGGGTTTTAAAATGGGTATACGTGAACCTTTCCATGGTGTTGGTGTATGTGCTTTTTTTTCCTTAAAGAAATGCCTACTGCTTACAGTGTAAAAGAATCTCCACCACTCTGTCTGCAGTTTTCAACCATAAGTCCTCAATGTACCTGAAGCCAAACTGAATATTAGGTATTTTACAGCTTTTACAAAATGGCTGTAAAATTACATTATGGGCATACACAGCTCTTTGATCTCACTGCACAGAATTCATAACTGTTCAATAATGCTATACCATTACACCACACACCTTAAGCTATTTCCATTTTTCCACAATTCCTTCCAAAATCAGCTTCCAAAGCAAAGCAATGTAACATGAAAAGTTCCTGGGAGGGCTGGTTACACAAAAGAACAGCTCGGATACAAACTGATCTCCACAATACCCATCTTCTGCTGAGCCTGCTTATCCCTCCCTCCCCTCCATCACTGCTAAGGTGGGTGCACTTGAGTAATGGAAAGAGAAGGCTCTCCCATCACCACACCCTCCCAGCTCCTCTGCTTCTGGTCCTCACGCAGTAAGTCTGTGTAGGTGATGAAAATCATAAGAAAAGAGAAGCTGTCCCTTTAAAATGCCCTGCTCTGTCCCATATCCCACGTGGAACCAACATCAGCAGCACTTTCCCATTAACTTCAATGTGATGCAAGAGGCACCATCCTTTTCTACACGTAAAACCAGAAAACCTCAGCTTAACATTCTTTACTGAGGATGAACAGGTGAAGCAAACGTGTCAGGAAGGGAGAAACCAAGCAACTCCCCACCCCACCCCAAAAGGTGCTCCATTCTTGCACACCAGCCTCTCTGTGCAACATCACCTCTCTACCCCTGCTCTGCAGAGCCTGGCTGAAAGAAAGGAGGGAGCCACTAACAAAACCTGAAGCATAAATGCGACGAAAATGCAATCTAAAGCCGGAAAGGTTTATTCTTCCAATCACACATATTAACTCTATTAAGAAAATGGCATCACTTTTTTTTCCACCAAAAAAAAACAACCCCGCAACGATCATTAAAAGAGAGTTATAAAATAGCAAATACAGTGTTTATCTTATCTCAGATCAGTCCACATTACCAATAAGTTTAGCAGTTTCTGCACTACCACCTCCCCCCTCCCTCCCCCTCCTTCTCTAGCATCGGATTTTCACGTTTTCTCATTGTCGGTTGAGTTATAAAAGGCTTTTGCCCTTCGAAAGTTTTAAAAAATAAATAAATATTAACTCCTTGGTCCCTGCAAAGTCAAAATGGACTTCAGGGGAAAGGCGGTTCATACTTTTACCTTTAGCGAGAAAAGGGGGAGCATCCCGGATTTTTAGGGATTTTTTGCGATTTTTAAAAAATTTTTATTTGGTTATATGCCTGAGTTCTCCCTCCATTTTGGTTGTTTATGATACTGACAACAAGCTGTCCCTGCTCTGTGCAGATCTCCTGCTTTCATTTAGCACCCCCTCCCCCCGCGGCCACACACCCAGGGCTCACACCGCCCCGCAGACCCCGCACCCCGACCCCGGCTCGCCCACCTGAGGAAAGGGCAAAAACAAATTCATTTCCCCCAAAAAGAAAAACCTCTTTTGAAAAAGGGGCAAAGTTACCCCAAGTCACTCAAAGTGCCCCCCAAATATTGCCGACTGCGGGTTTCCGCCAGGCCCTTTGGGGAGCGACCTTCCCCCGGGATGTTTTGGTGGAAAATGCGGAGAGTTTACTCTCAAAACCGAATTTATATTAATTTTTCCCTGATTTTTCGGGTCTCTAATGTCTTCCGCTCTCGCTGCTGCCGCTGCCGCTGTCACAATATTCACAGCACCAGAGAGGAGGAGGAGGAGGAGGAGGAAAACTTTTCAAACTTTCCAGACCCTGAATAAAGGGGTTTTTTTTTTTCCCACCGACCTCACCTTCGGGTCTCCAGCCGCATCGCCCCCTGCCCTGTCAGGAGCGACTTCGGGAGTCCTCACACCCCCGCCGAATTATTTTATTTTATTTTTTATTATTATTTTCCCCTCTGGGGTCCTGAGCAGGGGCTGAGAGTAGCACAAACTTTTCCTCCTCCTGCCGCCGCCGCTGCTCCTCTGCCCCCTCGGCTAGTCCCATAATTTAAATAACCCTGATATTTCTCCCGCTAAACGCCTCTCCGCCGCCCCGGACCCCGGGAGAACTCACCGCGGGGCTTTAACATCCTCCCTCCGGCCCGTCCGCCGCCTTTACACCGCCCGCGGAATTTCTAATAATTTTTTCTCATATTTCGGGCTGGACGCGGCGGGCCTGGAAATTGTTCTTACGCCTCTTCCTAGC